TCATTACCATAGAGCAGAACGGCTCTCACTGTCGCCTTGTATAGACGGCCTTTCAGACGGAGGGAAACTCCCTTCTGTCACCAAAGATGCCGCAAGTTCATGAAGGCAGCTCTGGCCTTTGCAATGAGTGAGCTGACGTCAGTTTCTATGCGCCCATCGTTGCTGATGCAGCTGCCAAGATAAGTGAATTGATCAACCACCTCGAGTTCCTTGTTAGCAGGCGTGAAGTGGTCATCAAGTGACTGGTGGTCCTGCAGCAACATTTTACACTTTAAGGTGCAAAGTATATACCAAATAATGGGACCACTCTGGACAGGCTATTCAGGGTTGATTGTGCCGCCCCATCATAGTCGAAAAGCAAGAGGATATCGTCAGCATAATCCAGACCAACTAACCTTACACCAGGCAGCACTTCAACGCCTAGATCGCGAGAATCCGCAAGGGAACACTCAATGCTAGAATCCCCGACGAAATTGAACAAAAATGGGGAAATCAGACAATCCTGACGAATGCCACTTGTGGTCGGAAAGCTATCCGACAGAACATTGTAGACCCTGACGTGGCCTGTTAGTGTTCGAGTATAGCGCAAGAAGGATGTTCACATATTTCTTGGAAACATATTTCCGAGCAAGAATTTCGAACAGAATGCATCGATCGACTGAATCGAACGCACTCTTGTAATCGAGGAACACAGTTATTGGCGGAAAGGCGTTATGCTTGGCGCTGCTCTAGCACCTGCCGCAAAGTGAATATATGGTCTATACAGCCACGTAAAGGGCGGAAACCGGCCTGCTCTTCCCTAATCCGAGATTCCCTTTCCGCAGTGAGGCGACGAACGAGAATCGACGCCAGTAATTTTGTCACAACTGGCGTTAGGCTAATAGCCCTGTGGTTAGAACACTCTGTGCAACTGCCCTTCTTGTATATTGCCACTATAATCGTTTCGCGCAAGTTAGCCGGGACACTCTCTTCCTTCCAGTTACGTTCGAATAGGGAGATCAGTGCTTTGCAGAGGACCTCACCTCCATCCTTAAATAGTGCAGCTGGGACGGAATCCAGGCCAGCGGCGGGCAAAATATTAAGTGCTGTAATCGCGTTTCGGACCTCGACCGCCGACGGAGGCTCTAAACTAACCGTCTATGACTCGTCCTGCATCACATGAGTAGGAAGAGGTCCGGGAGCAGGGGGTCAGCTGAACTGATCTTGAAAGTATTCCGCCCAACGAGCCATCCGGCGTTCCTTATTGTGTATCAGCACACACACGCTGTCTCTGCTTGTCTCACTGATGTCTACTTTTCTGGGACCACTGGTGCTGATTGGCTGGAAGAGCTTGCGGTAATTGCCTACTGCTCCTGCCTCCTCCATTTCTTGAGCCCGACTGCTCCACCAGGCTTCCTTGTCAGCACGTGAACTAAAGTTCAAGCCTAATAGCCCGTCTGGACACATTGTGTTCACAGCCAGCCGGGAGGTTTCTTCTAGATCCTAACAGGTTCACCGACCTCTCGGATATCCAGTGACTGGGGCGGTGATGATTGGTATGACCACAAGCAGCTACTTTTGAAGCGCAGTGTCATTACGAAAAAGCATCGAAAAGTTCGGTACGCAGTGCGTCCTGTTGGGCTTGTCTGCCCAAGGGTTGAGACAATTTCTCAGTTGCCCATTAGAGGGGATGCTTGTTGCGCCTCCCGGTAAAGTTTATGGAGAAACGACAGCGTACCAAGGCATGATCAGAGTCGATGCATGTACTCCTGTACGGGCGGCAATCCAGGATGGAACCACGCCATCTGTACCTTATGGCTGTGTGGTCAATTTGGGTCTATCGCTGGCCAGCTACAGGCTGACGCCAAGTGGCGCTTCGGCGCCCACTGTGTCTAAAAGCAGCGCTACTAAGAAACAACTGGTGCTCCGCACACAGTTGCAGCAGACGCTCGCCGCTGTCAGTCAATTCGGAGTTAAGCCCATAATTGCCACGCAGCTGAACTTCTGAAGAGCCCAGACGTCCTATTTGTGCGTTCATATCCCCAGCAAGCACTATAATATCTGAGCTACTAGCACTGCGTAGTAGGGCGTTCAGTTCGTGAATGTTCGCTTAGGGCATTATGGTTTTCAGGTAAGTCGCCCTTCACTCCCTCTTACTAGTTTTTATCTCATAGGCCATCGTGGTTGTATAGCAGCGAAGCATCAGTTCAAATGGCTGATGTACTGTTGTTGTTGGTTCGTTGTTGTTGAAGTATGGAACAGTAGAGAAGGTGCGTACATATACCTAACCCATACTGAACAGGCTATAAGTAATGACTAGGAACGTTTTCGCGCGACTCCCCAGAGGGGAGATGAAAGCGGATGTGTAGTTAGTAAAAGAAATGGACACAGAGATGTTACACGCAACAAGATAATCCAATGTTGTGAAATATTGTAAGTGCATGTTTTTATGTTCACTACGGGCCGTAGATTAGAGTGCGCTTGGTAGAGTGGCACTTCGGAGGCGTACCGTAGTTTTACTAATAGAGCAAATGTCCTGTCGGTCAGTTTTTTGAACTAGCCAGTTATTTTAGTCCGAGAAGCCGGCCTCGACTGCCCACTGATGATGTACCGCAGTCCACACACAACTAATAAATAAAAAATAATAGAAAATACGGACCGAGCGAGCTCCCTGCGTTTCCTCTCTATGGTGCCTACACCTACTCCATTTGCTATACGACTCTCCCATCCTTACATTATCTCCACATCTGACATCTAGTTCAAAAGCTTCCCTTACTCAGCCTTCAAAGAGGTGACCCCTGTAGTGTGCACGAAATATTTACGAAGTAATTATTTTGAGGCAATCGGCTTTACTTTTGCTTTTATCTTCCAACTACCTTTTTGTTTTATTGATTCTACATCCCATTCACTACCGAATTCTCTATGAGTTGTGCGGCGCCTTGCTCCTTGCTCTTAATAATCTGCTTCCGGATCATTGCGGATTGGTATAAAGCAAGATGAGTCCAAAACGTTCTTACTTTTACATAATCGGTATGCATCGTGTTTTTTACTAGTGAAACCTAGCCCATTAGATCAGCAGACATAAAGCGGTTAGTCACGTTCGACCACTGGTGCTTTCGCAGTTTGGCACGTATCTGGACGAAAGACCGCGTGAGAAATGAGCGTGTTCGACGACTTGTTTATGACAAAGAAAAGTAACGTAAACTGTCAGCATTGTTATACAAGGTACCAGACTCGGCTGGCTGAGCAACGTGTTGTGCATGCTAGCACACCGACTACCATAACCTGCTTTATTTTTGCTCCTAGTGTGTAGATGGAAGAGGATTAAAGGTGGCCAAGCAATGATCTAGTCAAGACGAAAGAAGAAAGTTAGTTCGAAGTAAGCATCGGTTGCAGCTTTCAAGCTAGATAGCCTTGTTGACGTGGCAGAGAGCCGACTTCAGTGAAGTTTGTGTTGTGAGTTTCGTAGTTCATACCCTCCCACTTAACTTTCCCTACGGTCTCATTTACCAATATAACTTCTTTTTTCGGCACCATAGCCGTCCGGTAAATCTCCGGAACGACGTCCACCAGTCCCAGCCCGCATAGCACGAGTGACCAAAAAGGGTCCGCTGGAGTGACCATTTGAGCTCCCTGCGTGCACAATTTTTATGACGTTGGCCGTCCGAATTAAACAGTTTTGGTCGACTTTGATCACTCAGAAAGCTTTTCCAAAGCACTCTTACCGTGAGTGCATTTTTCTTGGTTTCAAATACCGTCAACAATAAGCGGAAATCAATTCCCCTATTGTAATGGCGCAGCACTAAAACCTTCAAGCTAAACCGAAAGTTACTGGGCGGTCAAAATTCGCCCCAATATTGTCTAATTGGGGCGGCCAGTGGCAAAAAGTGGGTCATTCAGGGAGCTCAAACGGTCACTTGCGCTGGTCAAGTAAGGTCCTATTGGCAAAGAATGGCGGCTCTAAAATATGTAATATTGTTTAACAAAATATAAACACATCACGCCATTTATTATCATATTTACCTTTTGCTGTTGCCAGTGAACAAAAACACGCCCAAATGGGACCGCTCACTGTCCGTTTGTGCTTACAGGCTGGTAACTCAACCGGCGCGCATCTGTTGCGAGTTTTTTCTTCTTTCTTATATTTTGCGGCACAATAGCTGAGGCGTTTTCCACCTCTAGCACACGTGTCTAATGATGATGATGGTCCTCCTCGCAACTATAGCAGTCTGGAATTACATCTGGCTTGCGTGTGTAAGACACAAAGTAAAATTAGTATTTGTTTGTAAATTTAGGCGATTACTGCGGATTGTTGAGCTGGCTGTTGAGTTAGATTGCTTGAATCGGGCATGACCATTTGCTTGGCGGTTATTTTGATTGCAACGCGCAAACGCCCCCTTGTGCTGTGCATTCCGCGTTCCCCTATCTAGTAGCGTTTAACGGTGTCCTTTTATAGCTAGACCACTAAGGAATTTTTTGTAAACTAGAGGCTTCGTTGCAACACGATCTGCTTTCTGGACTCGCTAACCGTGTTCACGTAAAGCAATCAGTACTCGACTTTAGTTCTACATTCACTAAAACTAAGAATTAGGAATAATAGTACATTTTAAAACTGTAATACCACAAATCTTGACGCGCGTAAGTTGTTAGTAGGTTAATATACAACTGATGAATGTCCAGGGTCAGATTCCAATCCAAATACATGACAGCTGAAAATCCGATTGTATTGAGGAGCTCGGCAGTCATAGGAGAGCACATGTAACGAGAATTGCAGAGTGCAACGTCAAAAAATTGCAGCCGTTATGTTAAAGATATACTAGATATACTGAAAAAGGTGCTTATACTTTTTAAATATACTAACCCGATCGCCCGATCACAGACTGAGTAACGGAAGATTGATCGCCACCCAAAAAAGTAGTGTATGTATACATTAATAACAAAAAACGATAGTGCACTTTATAAAATATCTAAGTACCAAAAGTGGTGTAGCTTAAAAGGTGTGAAAACGAGGTTAAACCAACTTTGTCTTTTTCCAGGGTAATAGTATCACTGCGGTGTTTTGGCCTCTTCTTCCTCTCTTTCAAACCAGTCTGTGCTTGGATCAAAACAGGACGAAATGCATAAGTGTTTCCTCTTATCACACGTCTGTCAAACATCAAATTACCACGCCGATTTTCATAAAGCACCATATTACTGTGAAAAAGTATTAAGAGTTTTCAGGAAAGCGCTTACGTGAAGTTGTCCACAATATCGCCGTCAGGTTGTGTTAAAACTTTCGGTTGGCTGTCAAAGGAATATCTACTTTCCTGTCTCCCAGGCAGTACTGACGTCATTTTCGTACTTGTTGTGAGGCTTGCTGCTGTGTACCAAGGTTAAGATTAGTAGATGGAACGTTTAAACAAATACCTAAATAAAGCAAGCGGACTTAAATGAATACGTCAACCTATACGTTACAGGTATTGTGCATCGTCCTTTCCTGCCTGCGCATTAATTCATAACAAGCCAGGATTCCTCCATCCCAAAGTCCCGAAGTCATCGGTTTTCCGTGTATAAAATAAAGCACATAACGTTTTGAGTTTTCTGCAAATCAGCGTATTGTTTACGGTATTGCCAGAAGACGACGGTGGATGAACAGTGGAAGAACAACAGGAAAGAAACTTTTAATGTGCTACTTTACTCTGCTGGTACAAAATATTCTCTTAGTGGTTTGGTAATGGGACCTTTCCATCCGCCACTGGCGCGATTTTGAACGCGGGCTGTTGTTCATGCGGACCGGGACTCTCACATCTGAGATTTGCCCAGCGGCGGGTTTTGTTCGGTACTTATCCTAGGCCAACTGGAGCGGTTGCCATTAGATGGCGGTATATATATATATATATATATATATATATATATATGATGCACATGTTAACTGGGTGCATGTTTTGTATTGAAGAAGGTTAATGTGGTTCTCATAGCTGGTTATTATGATAGACTACAGGGGTATTGGAAAGCACTTGGCGCCACATTTGTAACTGTCATCATAGTGGATGAATCTGAGAGATTATGTCTTTTGCTGCGTACTATTATCGGAAAGTTGATGAGGTTGCTTCGGGTGTAACTACATTTGCAACTGCCACAGCTTTTTGCAAGCGTACGGCTGTGACTCCACAGCATTATGAACGGTAAAAGTGGAAGGGGTTGTCAGATGAGTACCCTTACCGGTAAGTGCAGTATCCGTGTTCATGGCAGGCGTAGCAACATTCTTGGGAATCTGTAAGTTGCTAATTTTACGCTATAATGAATGCTACACCGTTACTGGATGCTGGATTGCCAAGCCCATTCATTTTTCAAGTTGGAGCGTGCGGTAAACACTCCGCGTCGCCGAGACTCGTATACCGACTGCAGTGTTATTTTCAGAAACGCCACTGAGTCTTCTTCTGTTCTCCCAAAAGACCGTATGCTAGATGACGTTAAGTGGTTTGGAGTATGCATTACCATACTCCTGCCTCCCGGCTTCCCCGTCGTGACTGTGCGCAAACTAACCAGACTCGGTAACTTGCCAGCCGACACTTCTCGACCTCGCTTGTTGCGAGTTGTTCTGTCCACTCCGGAGGAGCGCCAAGCAATTCTGCGTTTCGCCTTTAAGCTCAAGAGCACAGGTGTCAATGTGCACCCCTACCTCAACTTTGGCGGATAGGCTGAAATGGCGGGAAGCTGTGAAGGATCTGAAAGCCTGCCGTGATGCAGGAGAAAAGGGTCTCTGCTTGGTGGGTTTTCGGGTGGGGAGCCGGCGGTCCACTTTCGCCCTACTAGAGCCGGTTTTGGTGGCGCATGATCCCGGACTCACAACGTTAACTCACTTAGGTGACCTTATGCAATGTGTAGCCTGCGAAACAAGTTGTGCTAAGTCGGCACTCCTGTCGACGACTGCCGTCCAGATGTTCTCGCACTCACTGAAACGTGGTTGTCCACCTACGTCACGGACAGTGAAGTGTGCTTGCCAGGCGACGCACCGCTGAGATGAAACCGCACCTCTGATCGGCGCAGTGATGGCGATGCTTTGTACGTTAAATCCACACTTATTGTCTTTATGACGTATAGTTTCAGCTCATCAGAGGATGATGTCCAGGCACTCGCAGTTAACCTGTGTATTGCATCCGCGCAACTTAAAGTTGTGCTAGTCTATGGAAGCCCCGACAGGGTGGCTAAGGGGCTTGCTGATTTCATCCGCGAGCATTCGGCAAATAGGTGTTCCTAAATAAATAAATATTTATTCTCGACTATGCGAGGCACGCCAATTGAGGCATGATCAGGTATGTACAGCCGTACAGACATTTTATGGGAACTGTAGTGACAGTAGAAAATTGTTCATATGTCCATGCTTGGAACTGTGCGATGGTGAACATGCGAAAGAACGATTTGGTTGTAGTGGGATCGGGATCCATTTGTTTGGACATAATCGCTCTGCCATATATATCGCAGTCATACCTCGAGTAATAATAGATAAATCCTGAGTGATCCATTGGAAGATAATTGAAGAGCAAGCTATCCGGTATGATGATACTAATTGAGATGCCAGTGTGAAGTTATGGGCTGTGACTTTATTCGGTGGCGAGTCACATTCGCCACGTTGCAGTGTTGTTAAACGGACATTTGTGGGTTTTTATAGGGAGAACGCTTGCCAGGCGAAAACCCACCACGTCCTGAAACACTGCCGCCAATCCATTGAATGGCAAGTTGTGACTGGCTATGTTTCTTGTTGAACGTTCTTTTGCTCCGTTATTCGCAGTCAAGTTGCGTCCCATTTTTCTGCTGACTGATGCGCTATGCGCGTGGCCATTGCGTGCCTGGGTCTTCTCCTGTGCCAGATCGGTAGGTCAGGAACTAAGCATTCTTTCTGGATATGATGTGTTGATCATCAGCAGAACCACGTGAAGTCTCGAAGAATATACGTTGAAATATGTTGAAGCCTTGGAGGACAGGATACGTTCCGAAGAAAGAATCGCAGATCCCCCGGGGTATGTAGTGGAATTGATTAGAGATACGGGAAACCACGGCCATTTGAGCGGTCAAAGCGGATTGAAGAGCTTAGAATGACCGATTGTTCAAGCTTTGTATTGGCAGGAGAATGTGCCTTCCGTAGTCGAAAGTCCTCCAGTCAAGAGATATGTGGAAGAGGTATTGTTAGGTAAATTGGACACAGTGGTTCATGCCGCGGAAGAATTGTATCAGTGCAAGATATTGGTTGAATTGTCCGGTTAGTAAGTTGTGAAAAGGTTGTTAATTCTCCGCTCATGTCCAGGTAAAGGAACTGTGTGCCTTGTATGGTTGTCGAAACGGAGGACAATTCCTTGGGTGCATGTCGCCGTACCTGTGACAGACTCGGGAGAAAAAGGAAACGAACAGAGACAGCCACACAGACAGAAGAAAGGAATGCATCTGGAATGCAGTCAATCAATTGCTGCGATGCCTGAACTTTTGTACCCCTATGCATGTAATTGTTATTTAAATATCGCATATACACGAATATCATAAGTGGCGAAATATGACGAGAATCGAGCGGAACACGGATCAGTAAAGAATGAAAGTGATGGGGGACTTCAATCTTCCCGACGTTGACTGGCAGAATTTTTCCTGCGGCGCTGTTACAAGGTGTTTGGCTTCTGATCTTCCGGAGCTGGCCTTGCATGCTTCCCTGCACCAATTTGTCGATCGGCCGACTAGATTTATGATGGGTCAAAACCTGTCCCTCTTGGACTTGATATTCGCTAAATCCATTGATTTTGTCACGCATATTGTATACAGCTCACCTGTCGGTTCTAGGGACCATGCATATCACTCATTTAAGTGCGCCCTTAGTCGTCAGACTAATGAGCATCCCGACCGAGTTCCAATTATATCGCGCGCGGACTTTCAGACAATGAAAGCCAAAGCCCCAAAGTCACCTTGTGTCATTTTGGAAAGTGACGACATTCAAACGGCCTGGGACAGATTTACATCATACTTCAGCGAGCTCTGTCTACCCCATATACCGCTATCTGGCAGGAATCAAACCAGGGCAAAGCCACCCTGGTTTGATTCTGCTGTACGCAAGCAACTTAACAGACGTGCCAGATGTTGGCATACTTATCTGCTAATTCATTATGCACCTTCATGCGACATCGTGAGGTTCGAAATGCCTGTAGGCAGTACCTACGAGGTGCTCGTCTACAATATGAATTAGAGCTTGCTCGTATAGCGTCATCAAACCCAAAACGCTTCTTCGCTTATGTCAAAAGGCGAAGCAACATAAATTCATGCATCCAAGTGTTGTTTGGCCCGGACGGCCCTGCTGTTGTCAGGGATCACGAAAAGGCTTGTTTGCTCGGAGAACAGTATGCTGGGGTTTATGTTCGAGAGTCACGGCCGCCGCATATCAGTCGCCAGGTAAAAGTGCCTGACGGCTTACACTTGGAGGAGGTTTCTATAACCGAGGATCAAGCGCTACGGCTTCTGAGGCAAATAAATCCCAATAAAGTTGCCGGTAGAGAAGATATTCATCCCAAAATGTTGTACGAGGTGGCTGATGAACTTTGCCGTCCAACTGCGCAACTTTTTGTGAAGTCTCTACGAGGCTGCTCTCTACCCAAGGACTGGAAGGAGGTTATTGTTTGTCCCATTTTTAAGAACGGTGGTGGGCACCTCCCTGATAACTATAGACCGGTCAGTTTAACAAGCGTGCTGGTCAAGTTATTGGAAAAGCTCGTGAGGAACGCTCTCGAAGGACATTTGAAAGCGTCTGAGTTGCGTACTCCTTCTCCGCACGGTTTTCGTAAGGGAAATTCTTGCCTTACTTACTGGTTAACCGCTCGTGAACACTGGGCCGAAGCCGTTGATTGCGGGAAGGCAGTGGACGTGCTGTTTATTGACTTTTCCAAAGCTTTTGACACCGTTCCACATTCGCGCGTTTTGTACAAGCTGAATTCCTGTGGTACTTCTAGACCAGTCTTACGATGGATTTCAGCTTTCCTAATCGGAAGGGAAATGTGTGTGCGGATGGGTTTAAGCCTGTCCATCCGCCAATGTGTTCTCAGCAGTGTTCCGCAAGGTTCGGTTCTTGGCCCCCTTCTCTTCACTTTATACGTTAATGACCAACTTGATGAATTGGGTGTGCCATCCGTAATGTTTGCGGATGACTTGAATCTCTGGTTCACGATAGATGAGCCGGTTGGTCCACTGACTCCACGGGAGGCACTGGATAGACTTTGGAAATGGTCCCTATTGTGGCAGTTGTCCATTAATTTAGCTAAATGTTCGTTTTACGCGTTGGTCCGAATGACCCGCCGACGCGTTAGTTGCTTGGCGGCAACGAGGTACCGCGAGTTCAACTCCAATCTGACCTCGGTGTTTTGCTGTTATCT